TTTAACACCGAACAGCTACTGGAACACAAGCACCTAGAAGCAGTCTGCTGTTTGGAAAGTTTTTGAAGAGCTGAATAGTAGACAAAAGGAGAGTAGAACAAGAGGAAAAAAATGCTTAATAACTATTACTACACTGCTGCCTGTTCTCTAAGCTCTCTCTGTTGACCAATACCAGGCAGAAGGCTGGATACTTGTAATACAGCTTCAGCCAGTACAACCATTTCAAAGAAGCAAAACATGTTCTATGAAATTGGGAGAAGATGAAAAAAGGAAAAATTAAGGATTCTGTGTTATTAAAATAGCAACAGCAGTAACTATTTCCTGAAGTAACAACGTTCACAGACTAAGATATCCCTTTGCTTAGGCTGCTGGATTTCAGATCTGTAGTGTCTCTAATCAGACGTCTGTTACAGTGACTTTGATTAAGCACTTCACAATTCTCAAGGAGGGTATGGACAGACAGCCCTGCCTTACCAGCTCCCCACAACTCCTTTGCATACTACATATTTTGACACAGACCATCTCCGAGCAGCCCTAGGACATACACAAAAATGGGGTCAGTTATAAACACTATTGGGTATTTGGGGGGAGATGGGGGATGCCTTCACAGTGAAAAACCAGCACTGAAACAGAACAGGAAAAGGCTAGTTTGAATTGTCCCAAGTTTCCAAAGTCCTGGAAAGGTCACTCTTTACCTCTTTCTAAAGGTTTTCACAGATGTATAAAAATTTTACGTTGCATTAATGATTCCCAACCCAGTGGAAATACCAGCCTACCATGGTGATCAGCTAACAGAGACTGCGCAATGCTGAGTGAAAATAAAGAAGCTCATATAGCTGATCTTACTTCACCTACCCGTCACCCACATCCACAACTCAAGGAATGTATTAAAGTAAGTACAGTATTATTAACATACACTGAATAGGCAAGCAGATGCAAGAGCACGGGTATCATTTTAAGGTCAGAGTGTGAGCATCTAATTTATATTGCTCAGGGAAGCAGAGATAACAAGGGATGTATTTTAAGAACACTCTGGACTACAATCCTGAAGCCTCCTGAAACATATAGCAGTTAGCTGCAAAAACATTGCTTCCAGTGCTCAGACAGCTGTTACAGCTGAAATCTATGATATTTCTTAGAACTGTGATTAAGTGTGCAGTTCCTGCTAGTCTCCATGGAGACTGATGTTGGCTCAGCAAAAAGTCACCAAGTGTTTTAAAATAATTCCTGTTCATTTTGAAATTTCAAAGCACTTAACTCGTTTTTGCCTATCAGATATTATTTCCCCAATGAAAACTGCAGCAGTAAAAGCAACTAAAAGCACTAGGCAGAACTACAAAAATATTTTTACAGCTCATTTCACATGCAGCTGGAAATTAAACACCAAAACATACATTTTAAAAAAAAAAGATAGAGAGAAAAGGAATCTCCAAAACTAGAAATCAAGTAGTCAGTTGTACAATCTTCACATTACGTGTATTTGTGCACTGAGTACATTATATTTAGCTGCAAAAGAATCCTTTTTGGGATGATACAATACTGTATTCTGTACTTTAGCTTGTATAATTAACTCTTGCCCTTTTTATCTAAAGGCTATTCCTTTTGGGAAGTACCTTATCTGACATGTTCTTAATTGTCTAGTACCATGACAATAACTACAACAGTCTTCAAGCAAGACTGCATCTTCAAAGAACCTCCCTCCTCTGTCTATTTGTGTTTTTCCTTTAAAGGAACAGAAGATGTTTCACTACAGCAGAAAACAGCAAATTCTACCTTGCAGAAAAAATAACTTAAAGAATTTAGGCATCCCAAATACGTACATAAACAGCAGCTCCCAACATGTGCAATTACAAAGCTCTTTTAATAGGTTCTCCATAAATCCGGTCAGTTTTACCACTAGGTAAAAAAATATTACAGTGTTTACACAGTATCCACAGATAAACAGGCAAATACTGCCTATGATCTCAATTTAGCACTGTATTTTTTTAAAAAAAACCTTAAACCTGGCCATAAACTTATATTGGCACAACAGCATTTTTTATACATATATACACTTTACCAGAAATCCTCAGAGAGAATTTGCCCAAAGTAATTTGCACTTCCGCATTGGTAAAGATTCCCAAATAATTTCACCTAATGAATTGACTTCAAAAGCTCTTTGAGATTACACCCTGTAAAAAGCAATAAAAAAAAAAAATGTCATACAGGGTTGATTTCTTTTTTGCAATTTTCAGAGAACTGTTGAGGTTGGTAGGGACCTCTGGAGTTCACCTTGTCCAACCCTCCTGCTCGAGCAGGTTGCCCAGGACCATGTCCAGACAGCTTTTGAGTATCTCCAAGGACAGACACTCCACAATCTCTCGGGGCAACCTGTTCCAGTTCTCAGTCACCCTCACAGTAAAAACGCATTCCCTGGTGATCAGACAGAACCTCCTGTGTTTCATTTCGTGCTCACTGCCTCTTGTACAGTCACCGGACACCACTGGCTCCATGTTTTTTAACCATCCTTTCAGGTATTTGTACACAATGATGAGATCCCCCTGAGCCATCTCTCCTGTAAGCTAAATAGGCACAGTGCTCTCAGTCTTTCCTCATAAAAAGTGTTCCAGTACCTCCACCATCTTTGTGGCCCTTTGCTTGACTCCCTCCAGTAGCTCCAGTCTCTCTCTTACCGGGTAACGCAGAACTAGACACAGGATTCCAGATGTGGCCTTATAAGCACCTACCGATTGCAGATGTCTTTTCACACTAGTACATGTCATTCTTTTCTCCTGAACTTATCATTTAAAGTACAGCTATCTGTGCTTCAGTTTACACTGAATATTGCCGCCTACCTTGACATCAAGAATTAGGATAGCAACTTCAGAAACATTATGGATATTCAGTACTGTCTTCCAGTATTCTATTTTTCAAGGCATTTACAAACTTAAGCTATACCACTACGGAGGCCAATTTTTTTCTTTCTTCACACATATGGAGGAAGGAACTATAACGATTTGCTGTTTTAAATACTTTTTTCCATAAATAGTAAACGTACACACCAGTTTCTTAAGCACAGGAGTATACAGCACTGTTGGCCTTCTGGAGCATCCTTGTCTTCATGGAAAATAAAGACAGCTTGTTCTATAAGCACTTTGGATAAATTAGATGGGAATGGTGACCACACTGGTCACGAGAAAATTTATTCCATGAAGTAATGCCTTTTTTCCTGTTTCTTGTATCAGTCCACCAAGAATGTGTTTTCATTTGAAGAAAAAATGTTCTATACACCAAGCAAAATTATATACATCTATTCTGACACAACCAGAATTTTAATATAATGCAAAAATCCCTATCATTTTATAACTCTAAAGTGTTCTAAACTATAAGCAGTAAGTAATTTAAAACAAAACTGAGTGCTTTTGGTTTTGAACATTATGTAGCACCAAAGCTGACAGAAGAACTTGTTGGCACTTTACCAGCATTTTTGAGCTAGTTGAGGGAAAGGTACCCCACATCTACTTCATTAACATCTTTGTCAGCAACATGGACAGTGGGATCAAGTGCACCCTCAACAAGTTTGCCAATGACACCAAGCTGTGTGGAGCAGTCAAGACACTGGAGGCAAGGGATGCTATCCAGAGGGACCTGGACAGGCTGGAGAGGTGGGCCTGTGCAAACCCCATGAAGTTCAAAAAGGACAAATGCAAGGTCCTGCACGGGGGCTGGAGCAATCCCAAGCACAAATACAGGCTGGGCAGAGAATGGATTGAGAGCAGCCCTGAGGATAAGGGCTTGGGGGGTGTTGGTTGATGAAAAGCTCAACATGAGCCAACAATGTGCACTTGCAGCCCAGAAGGCCAACTGTACCCTGGGCTGCATCAAAAGATGCGTGGTCAGCAGGGCGAGGGAAGTGATTCTGCCCCTCTACTCCACTACGGTGAGACCCCACCTGGAGTACTGTGTCCAGCTTTGGAGTCCTCAGCATAAGGACATGGACTTGTTGGAGTGAGTCCAGAGAAGGCCACGAAGGTGATAAGAGGGCTGGAGCAGCTCCGCTACGAAGACAGGCTGAGAGAGTTGGGGTTGTTCAGCCTGGAGAAGAGAAGGCTCCGGGGAAACCTTATAGCAGCCTTTCAGTATCTGAAGGGGGACCGCAAGAAAGCTGGAGAGAGGCTTTTAAAAGGGCATGTAGTGATAGGATGAGGGGGAATGGCTTCAAACTGGAAGAAAGTAGATTTATATTAGATATCAGGAAGAAATTTTTCACTCTGAGTGTGGTGAGACACTGGCCCAGGTTACCCAGAGAAACTGTGACTGCCCCATCCTTGGAGGTGTTCAAGGCCAGGCTGGATGGGGCTTTAAGCAACCTGGTCTAATGGGGGTGTCCCTGCTCATGGCAGGGGGGTTGGAACTGGGTGACCTTCAAGGTCCTTTCCAAACTAAACCATTCTATGATTCTATATCAGTTAAACTGTTTTCTTATTACTTAGGTTATTGACCCCACTGGAAACAAGAAGCCAAGACAGAAAAAAACCAAACCAAACCCCGTAAAACTTTAAAAGTTTAAATAATTCTGATTGTTACTTGATTAGTCACCTTTGTGATAGGAATGATGCATTTTTCCTTAGCAATAACAAAAAAGTAAACATGACCTCCTAAAAAAAAGTTCACTGAAATAAATGCTGTAGTTTATTTTTTTCACACTTAGCAAAAAAAAAAAATCTCTGTTTACACAGATTTTTATTATTTCCCCCCCTATATATGGCATTAATTCATAAATACTAAGATACTAAACAGTAATAATTCAAATTTTAAGTTATGAACAAAATCTTATCTGTGATGCAGTGGAAACTTAAGCACCAAGTTTCAAACAATGCCACTAATCTACCCAAAACACAAATAAAATTGATCTCCCTGTCTAATGAGGTAGCTACAAGAACATATCACCTTACTGGCCTAGAATTGATAGGGATAATAGAGCGAAAAGCACCAGTGAGTACAGCATGATAACATCTTACCTAAATTGTGTCGCTTTGTCTTTGCGTGCTCGTGAATATGTTTCTTTGTAAAACAGCCAAAGAAGACACAGTAGAGGCAAGAGTGGAGTCTGTTCAGGTGGGCACCACACATATGACAAATGCACGACTTTGCCTGAAATAGAGAAACAGACACAGACTGTGAGTGACAGAAACACATCTCCCAGTCCAGATGAACGGGTGTAGATCTAACTGCTACCTTTCCGTTTTACTCAGTGCCTTTTCAACGCTGCAGACCAGCATGGGGAACAGTTCTGCCCCCACATGACAAAACCACTAATTAGACATATTAACGGAGAAAACTCTTCCATCCGCCCAATACACTTCCAAGTCTTGATAGGGAGCACGTCTCGTCTAAGGACAGATGATAATCAAGCCAACTCTCAGCCTGTAGTTGAACGAACATTTCAAGCCAGGGTAAGCAGGCACTGCTGCCAGAATACACAGTCCTGCTATTCCCTCACTCCACCTGTACATTTCTATTCCCGTACCAACCAGGTACCAGCAGGATGACGGCACAGCCACGTGCTCAGGCTGGGAGACAGACGTGTTTGAAATGAACCTTCCACCCCCGTAGATTAACCTGTATCAATTCCTCCACCCATCTCACAATGAGCCACGCAAACATCCATTGCTGGTGCAAAACCTTTGGGCCTTATGGCTAATACAGCATGGGCTTAACACTACAGCAGCGCAGATGCCAATTACCAGGGGAGCGAGGTCTCCGTGCATCTGTCCTTGCTAGGTTCTTCAGAATCACCCCCCACCCACAGTCTCTACCTTGAAGCAATGGGCTGTGCTGCCCAACAGCCCCTTTGCTAAGCTGGTTCAGCTTGCTAACCTGGAAACCGAAACTAGACTAAAATTAATCTTTTGTCAGGTTAGTAAGTTTGGGGGGATGGGGGGAGATGGAGTAGACTCGGATGAACATCAGAGCTCAGGGAATGCAGATGCCCAGCAGGGAGGTGAAAGGGGTGAAGAGGCAGGAGGTTTTGGGGGGTGGGACCACAGCACAAACTCTGCTTTTTCGCAGCACCGAGCTCCTCGATCCACTCAAAAGCTGTAACATAACTTCAACATTAAAATGTTTGTGGGTATACGGCATTTCATTCCTCTGCTGGGAGATTCTGCCAGATTCATTCATTAGATTTCTCCGTACCAGCCCACAAAATAGTGGCGCAACATCAAATCCATACCAGTCAAAGAGTTACAGAAGTCACTTTTGCCATTCTCAGACTGGCTTCGCATCAAGTTTGGAAAACGATGTGCTGACTGTTACCCATAGCGACCCAGAATGGGGAGGTATGTGATGAAAGTTACCACATGATTCATTAGAAATTAATAAGCACGTAAGCCTGACATGATGGTTTACATTCCTATAATAACAATACATTTTAACAAGCAGGCCTGGAGAAAAAAAAAAGTCAATTAGAAGGTTAAGTAGACTTTTTGACTCTCAATCATATTTGAAGCACTCTTTAAGCCAACAACACCCAAAAGTTTCTTTTACCATTAAACTCTGGTACTTCAACAAATCTTTTGAAAAATTACCCTGTCTACTAAGAGACTTAAGAGAGTTTGAGGGGTAAGTCCTTTGCTCAACACCACCAAAACCAGTTCCAGTCCAATACCATCTGACTGGAAGATACAAACAGGACAAATTCGTCACGGTAAATTCACTTTTCATCTCAGACAACAGCAGCTGCATTCAGACATGTTTAAGAGTAACTGAACTTCTACAACAGCTCAGAGCTACAGAGATCACTTATGGAGGTACACCTTTATTTTGCAGACTAAACTGAAAATACTATACTTTTGCTTGTCAATATAGATGTACCTTTTTCCTTCATATTAAAAAAAAAAACCCCAAGAATCAGAATTACTAAAATACTAAGCTATCATCTAACCCAAGCAGTGCATTTCATCAAAAATAACCCCCAAAGTTCTTCAGTAATGTTTGCCCAGTCTGCCACAACTTAAAATTAGTGCTGAATAAACGATGCATGATCCTGTTCTCTAGTCTGGCATTTTTTCTTTCAGAATACTTTTGGCTGTTAAGAAAAAAAAAAAAAAAAAAATCAACAAAGAAGCCTGCAGTATGCTGCACTATGTAATTTATTTTCAAGCTTCTACAAATTAAGACTTAAATCCTGAATCTCACATACTGTATATTCAAAGTTTTCCTAATTTCTGTTAGATGAAAATAGATCGGTTGAATCAAACTCCACACACCTACAGAAAGAAATATTTTAAAGTAGGACCAAAAAAAATTCACCACCACCAGCACAATTTCCATCTTTAGAAAAATACTGCAGAACTGTCAAACTGTTGCCTAACGGTCGCTCTTTGGCTGCAAAAGCTAAATAGGATCAGCCTATCTGTTAAGATTGCTGCTATGACAACTCTAGCAACTAGCTACTTTACTTAGCCAGCTAAAAATAAATCTTTTAGCATTAAATGTATTGTAAACAGATGACATAACAAGCATGTAAAAACCAATCCTTTTAGTCTAAAAGGTAGAAAATTCATGCCCTAAGAGTTTTTATTTCAATGAAAATTAAAAGAAATCGAAGAACGTAAAAAAAGAGTGGCAAGTTAAAAGAGAAGTTCAATCACTCATTTAAAGGAAGCTATTTTATCCATTTCCTCTATTTGTTCAGTATAGCTCAAGATGGTTTTTCTAAAATTGTAAGAAAACAAAGAGTAAAGAGAGAAATCAATATCAAGAAACATAGTGGCTATTCTTAACTAGATCAGCTGTCTCCTTTTCATCTGCCTGCTTTTAAACAATTTGCTAAGTTAAAGCTGCCACCCTCCTACCCCACCACAAATAATCAAATTACTTTGTTTTATAATACTCTCACCCTTGCTCACATCTCTACAGGCTACAGTCTAAGACAAAACAGAATATCGCAAATCAGTAGTCAAAAATCTGTCGGATCCATAAAATCACACGCTTCCTTTAAAACACGACTCAACTTTTTTAAAAAGCAAGTTAGGTCTCGCTTATGGTCCAGACGCTTTAGGGAAGTCAGCCAGCACTTCGGCTGCAGAATCAACCAGTCACTTCTCTTTCTCTCCGGTGTGTCCTCCCAGATACAAGAACACCCCTTCCTTATCCTAAGATATAAATGTAGAGTCTTCTCCTTCCTCCATACCCTCTCCCATTATTATTCTGTTCCCCCCATCATTTTATTCTGTTCCCTACTTGCTTCTCTCCTTTATTCTCCTCACTCTCAAGTATTCCACTTCCCATCTTTAACCCTGTTCTCTCTCCCCACACGCTCAGTCCCTCACCTTATGTCCCCAGCCAGTCTTCCTTCAGTCCATACCGAACCTGTCTGTCTTAATATTGCTTTGATAATCTAACAAACTGCACACAGAAACCAGAAGAGGCCCTGAGTGTTTTCGTTCTGGAAGATTATAACCAGCTTTTTAAAAGACAGAAAACTGGAAGAAATGGTTCTGCACAATATACACTGTGTATGCATACACACAGTAACTGACAACATTTCTGACAAAGCTGCAGGAGTGAGCAACATTGGATATCCCAATTCCTTTGTCAGTATTTTTTCCTCTACTGATCTCTTTCATTGCTACTAAGACAGGGGTAACTCACACACCCAGTCCCAAAACACATAAAAGGCTGAAATCACCTGTAACACAGGTCAATAGAGTCCATCTCTAAAAGGCTACCTGCTCTTAATACTGTTAATAGCTACGAAGGCACTTTAAGACTTCCCAAATTGTCAGAATAGCTTATTATTGGTTTACCGTGCTACTATCAAAACTGCGGTGGAGAAACCTAATGCATCCAGCTGGTGTTGTTCTACCCTAGCAGTCCTCTGTCCGACAGCTTCCGTTCCTGCTCTCCTTTCCTTCCACCTAAAGCAAGACAGTCACGCTGGGCATGTAGCATCAACTGTTCCAAGAACCTACATACCTGTTTCAACTTCGTATTAATATTGGCTCCTCAAATCAATGAGCACCAATTTCAAGTGGCAATACGCTATCCCTGCAAAGCAAACTGTGCAGAAAAAGCAAGAGCCGCACAACAGACCTTCACTACTGCAAACCACCCTTCCGCATTTCCAGCTCTTTCAGAAGTAGCTTTAGAAACTTGATTTTTATTTAATTGTACATGAGAGGAAAACATCTTTTTAGAGAACTTTTCCACTAGGCTACTTAAGGAGTCTTGCCTCTTATGCTCACACTAAATATATCAAAGCACTTTCAGAATAGAGCTGTTGTCAGTTACAAGCTTATACGCCAAAGACCTCCTACCTTCCCCAGCCTGCAAACCACATTCACCACACAGGTTCACGGGCAAAGATGAACTAGGTAACACGAACAAGACAGTGGGAGGCTTGGGAGGTTAAGAGATCATAAAGAAGCTGTTGCCACACTGTACGTGTTCACAAGTAACTCAAAGCAGCAGATTCTTAAGGTACTCTTAAAGCAAATACACTGGCTATGGATCCCTGTACCAATCCTTAGCATTAGGAAAGTAAAAAATTCCCAATACAAATCTACTTCAGTTTCCCCACCTTTTAAAGTAAGTTTTTGTGTAAAACAGACATAACATTTAGACACATAAGAAGCAAAAGGAGAAAGTATTTAATTTTCTAATACATTATCATCATTACTGAAAGTCTTTGGAGGAGTACACTTCACTTTCCAGCCCAAACCCAAGTCTAACTCTTCAGAAAGAACTTTAATCTCAGTCTACGCAAATTAAGGTCGTCGTTGTGCAGCAGCTCTAAATATGCCTACCTACCCAATACAGATGTATGTGGGAAATTCTCCCTCCACGCATAAGTTTGTCACCATAAACTGTTTTGTTTCCAAGGAGAAGCATTTGTGCTCCGGAAGCATTACTTCAGCTCAGACAAACCATTCCTCACAAGGTAGTACTTCAGTGGACCTGAAAGAAGGTGAATTCCAGGCACAGGGAGACGCTGAGGAGTGCCACCCATTCATGGCTGTTGAATTTTGAATTAGAATTTCTGTGAGAAACTGAGAAACCTATTCCAAAGTTAACCTCGGCACAACCACCCCAGCAGGTATTTAGGCAGGAGGAGCTGCTAGCTCTAAAGCCAAGAGGCAAAATTT